CCCCAGAACTCTTCAGTCTTACAAAACTGAGACTCTGTCCCCACTAAACAATTCCCTAGTCCCTCTCTTCCCATATCTGTGTTTCAGAGCTCTCTTCTTTCCTTGTTCTTGTCTCTGCAAAGACTCACTCTGTCGCTCAGGTTGGAGTGCAGTGGCACGTTCAAGGCCACCGCAGCCTCGACTTGCTGGGCTCAGGTGATCCTTCTGCCTCAGCCTTCCAAGGAGCTGGAACTACAGGTATGCGCCACCATGCCCAGCTAATTTTTTTGTTTATTGTAGAGACGAGGTCTTGCCTAGTTGCTCAGGTTTGTCTCGAACCCGTGAGCTCAGGCAATCCTCTCACCTTGGCCTTCCAAAATGTTGGGATTATAAACGTGAGCCACAGTGCCCAGCCACCATGGGTTTTTTAAGTGTGAGAATAGGGGCCATGTCTGTCATAGATCCCCAGAGCCTGGAACAGACTTGGTACAAGGTAAGTCACCACAGAGTATGCAGACTAGATGGGATAGGTGACTGAACACAATCAGAGGAAAAAAGCCAGCAAGTGGAACCAGAGAGGTTAAGGACTCATTAAAGGTCACACAGCTCATAGCAGAGCTAGGTTTGAAATTCCAAACTTCATAATTCTCAATCCAGTGATTTATCAGCTCACAAAGAAGGGATTAGCAGCTAGGTGTGGTGGCACATGCCTGTAATCCCAGCACTCTGGGAGGTCAAGGTGAAAGGATTGCCTGAGCCCATGGGTTCGAGACCAGCTGGGGCAACTTGGTGAGATCTCATCTCTACAATAAATAAAAAAAATTAGCTGGGCGTGGTGGTGCGTGCCTGTAGTTCCAGCTACTTGGAAGGCTAAGGCTGAAGGATCGCCTGAACCCAGCAGGTCGAGGCTGCAGTGGCCGGGAATGTGCCACTGCACTCCAGCCAGGGCAACAGAGTGAGACTCCAACTCAAAATAAATAAATAAATAGCCTATACAATAAATCAAAAAAATTAGCCAGGCATGGTGGCACATGTCTGTGGTTCCAGCTACTTGGAAGGCTGAGGCAGAAGGATCATGAGTCTAGCAGGTAGAGGCTGTGATGGCTGTCAGCGTGCTACTGCACTCCAGCATGAGCGACAGAAAAAAAAAAAAAAAAAAAAAAAGAAGGGAAAGAAGATATTAGCAGAGTCAGAATGGATCTGCTTTCTTTTTTTTTTGAGTTGGAGTTTCACTCTGTCGCCCAGACTGGAGTGCAGTGGCACGCTCCTGGCCACCGCAACCTCCACCTACTGGGCTCCAGCGATTCTTCCGCCTCAGCCTTCCAAGTAGCTGGAACTATAGGTGGATGCTACCACGCCCAGTTAATTTTTTGATTTATTGTAGAGATGAGGTCTCACCAAGTTGCCCAGGTGGGTCTTAAACCTGCGGGCTCAGGCAATCCACTCACCTCAGTCTCCCAAAGGCGGGGGATTACAGGGGATCTGCTTTCTGAAGCAGTACAGTAGAAATAAAAACAGAGGGGTCACAATCTAGGAGAATGTTGAGAATAAAGGGCTGTTTGGCACTTACCAAAAAGGAAATTTTTATGCTGGGTGTGTTGGCTCATGCCTGTAATCCCAGCATTTAGGAAGGCCAAGGTGAGGATTGCTTGAGCCCAGGCGTTTGAGACCAGCCTGGACAACATAGCAAGACCCTGTCTCTACAAAAAAATTAACAAAATTAGCCAGGCATGGTAGTGCATGCCTGTAGTCCCAGTTTCTCAGGAGACTGAGGTGGAAGGATCCCCAGAGCCGAGGTCAAGGCTGTGCTGAGCCATGATCATGCAACTGCACTCCAGCCTGGGTGACACACTGAGAGTCTGACTCAAAAAAAAAAAAAAAAAAAAAAAGAAA